CTGCCTCCTCGGGAGCTGCGCCCCTGCGGGAAGCGCGGGGCTGGGTTTGGTTATTTTCCGCCAGTCTCTGTGGGGAGTGGGCGCTTGTGACACCTCTTCTGCTTCAGATAACGGTGAAAGACATCCAAGACTTCGAAAAGGGCTACAAAGGTTCGGAAGAAGAGCTCGCCGACATTAAAGTGGCGTACGTCGATTTTAAGGGCAACATGGACAGGATAATGGAGTCTGTGTTGTGTGCAGACTACACCGACGAGGAGCGGATACGCCAAGCCATCGAAGCAGCCATTGAAGCTGGAGAAGTCCCATCCTACAAAAGTTTTGTGCAAGAGTCGAAGCAGAAGAAGATGGCAAGGAAAAGGCGGGTAGGTTATATCGGTCAGGGGCCAGAGGGAGGCATTATCCTAGACCGGCCTAGACCGGAAGGGATCTCAGAGATCATTTAATCCAACCTCCCTGTCATGGGCAGGGACACCTCTCGACGAGATCAGGCAACATGAAAAGCTTTTAGTCTCCCTTGGTAGAAATAAGCAAAACTCTTGACACAAGTGTTTGCCGCAGGGTGGCTGCGTTACAGATCTTCGCAGCACCTCTCACTTTCGCACTTGGTCACCTGTGTACTCCACGCCCCCTCCCAAATCGTGAAAGCCTTTTGAGTTGTTCAGGCTGCTGACTATTACTTAGTTCTTTTATTTCATTGTTACACGCTGTGGCTTATTTCAGCTTAGCATGTCCCTGTGTTTATTTACAAAGCTATGAGCTGCTGGAGTTAAGAAGTGTACATGGCGGAAATACATTATGCCTGCCTTTTGCAAGTGTGAAATAACATTCTGGACCAAAGGGACCTCTGCTCCAACCTGCTTTTGTTTGAAAAAACAGAAATGACAACACTGGAGAGTATGCTCTGTGCACACCACAGTAACCTTTCTCTAAGTTAAAGAAGATGTAATAGCTGCTAAGACAAAAAAGGTGTTGGTAGAGGGAGCAGGGATGGGGATAGACATCACATTCAGCATTGTGAGGCAGCAAAAAATTGTCCTGCTCTACTAAATTGTGAAATTGGAATGGGCTTTCCTTGAGTGATTTCTCATCCATGGCTAAACTGGGAAACTATTCCTGTTTTCTTCTAGCTATTTGTGTACAGATACCAGTCCCCCTCCCCCCACCAAAAAAAACCCAACACTATAAGACTTAGTCAAATAACATGTAAAATACTTTCAAAAACACCTAGTTTGCTATTTTAGGCAGAAAAAGAAGCTAAGGAGGCAGAGAAGACCAGAGATGAACTTGGCCTTGGTGGAGAAGGTGACTTGAAAGCACTGATTGAAGTAAGGCTTTTTATGTATCTGTTGAAAATAATTATGTTACTGGCTTATAATTATGTTTTCCCTGAGCATCTTTGTATTTTGGATCCTTGCAACTCTTCTGAGTTCCTGAGGTTAAAACGTGACCTTAATGTTAACCATCTGTGTACTTCAAATTAACAGTCAAGTATGGATTTTATTGCCTGTGGCTTTATAAAAATTAACAAAGCTTTATTCTAATATGCTTTGTGGATACACAAAATATTTAACTTCTAGTTTTAGGCAGTTAAGCAGAGAGGGTTAATGATTCTTTCTTTCTGAAGGATTCCGTGAGGATGTAAAAGATGATGCGTCTTACTATTTTGCTTTTCTATCCTGGGGATTTGAGTAAAGACACGTTTCATTTACATTGTGTTTTTTGGAATGTTTTCCCTTCTTTCTTATTGTCTGGTGGGTTTCCTAGAATGTTTATCCTTAATCATTCTTCAAATTGAGTTTTGGGTGTAAGCTAGAAATAGCTTTGCTTTTCCTAGCCTTAAGTCATGAATTTCAGTAGTTATTCTTCACCTCTATATTGATACTTTGGGAGCCTTGAGTATAGGAGTTGGCTTTTGCTTGACAGTACTATACTTTCTGTAGCTTGTATTCCTTGTTTAACATATTCCAAGATTTTAGGTGGCTATCTAACTTCGACAGAATATTCTGTATTGGGAAGCGGTAAAAGTTTTGGGTTTGTGTTTTTGGTTTTTTCACTCTTCCAGAGCAGAAAAAAAGATCGAAAAAAGGAAATGGATGACTTTTTGGCCCAAATGGAAGCAAAATATGGGAATACTGCTAAAAAAGGAGGAAAGAAGACTGCAGCCAAGAAGGGAAAGAAATAGAGAACTGTGTAGGCTGAAATACGAGGTATCATTTTGTGTGGCAATGTGTTGATTTGGGAGAATTCTAGAATTTTCCTGGGCTACCCTTTCAGGGTGTTTACGCATCAGCTTGCTGTGGCTGGAAGGTATGGTACGGAGTGCATCATGAAAAGGAAAGACAAAATATTCCGGTGCCACTGTTTAAAATCCTTTGGGTGCTCTTCAGTTAAGATCAAACAGATCCTGTTGCACTAAGGAAGCGGTGTGACGCTTGTGATGGCTGTCGTGTATTAAACTTACGCTGGAGCACCTTCCTTCTAAACCCCTAACGGATATTGGTCCAGCTGATGGTGTGAAACAACGTAGTCCTGCACCTCTGAGACTCTTCAATACCGATTCCTGTGGTTTCTTATTTGGAAACCTCGCCTTTTCGCTCTGTACACGTTTCTTTTGTGACAAACCGGCTGGTTTTAACGGCGTTTGTACTTCGGCTCAACATGTGTTTTTCAGATATTCCAGTGCTTTTATAAAGATAACTTTGGAGAATTGCAGATTTAATAAATTTTTTGCAGAATCCTGTGCTATGTTGCCTCCCCAGCCCTCCCCACATTTTCTAAGTAGCTGGTGAAAACAATCTGATTGTGTGGACTCTTCTGACTGATTCAAGTCCAGTAAATGCTACGTACTTCTAGAGCAGCTGAAAACATGGCTGTACTGGTAAGGGTGGTTAGCAGTCAGGTCTGCTCTAGGGTGGGAGAGATCAGCTGCTTCACTGTTCGTCAACATTTCTGATATTTCAGACGTGAACTACTTCTGTATGATGCGTGAGCGCTTTGAAGGTTCTTTGCTTCAAACCACTTGACACAGTGTGCAGGCGTATGAATTTGAAGGGTAGCTAGTTTTGAATTTGCTGTAGCTCAAAGGAACTAGGAGGTGGTTTTGTGGATCATTTTTCCAGGCTTATGAGCCACGAGGTAAATGCTTGGTTTTGAGTTGAAGGTCCTCGTTGTTTCAGTGACAGCGTTCAGGAACTGTTTACAGCTTCCGCTAGAGGTAGGTGGTAGCTCTGTTGCTTTTTACGTGGCTGCCTTCAGAAATTATCGTGGTTCTGAGAGAATAGAGCAGATCGCATCACGTAACACATGGATTCAACGTTTCTTTTACTAGACGAAATTGGTGTCTTAACGGCCCAGGAGAAGTCTCTGGTGTCAGCCGTGGGAACAGAAGCCAAAAATGACCTTACGATGAGACTGCTTTTGCTTTTTTAACGCACTGACTCCTCTAGGCTATTAAATACTACATTTTGTTACTGGTTTCTTTGTCTATTTTTGTAACTTACTAGCTTGGTTCCTGAGGAATGGCACTGGACAGGAGCGGGATGCTTATCTCCAGTTAGCTTGAGATAGCTGTGCAATGTTGCAGCAGTCCTACTGTTAAGAGAAATTATGTTTTGGAGAGGTTTACTGGATAGAGGCCTCTCTTTAGCATCAGTCTCAATTTAGATTGAGCCCAAACCTTCCTCCCGCCTCCTCTAGAAATGCAAAGGAACATTACACTTGCATAGTTCTGCTTTGATTAGGACGTGCTTTGATCAATTGGACTCAAGAGCTTCAACAGCGATTACAAGTTATTAGCTGTTCTGTGGGTGCCACTAACATTTGATAGATTGTGTAACTTCAGGGTGGAGAAGTAAGAGCCACTTCCTAAAGAATACTGATGAGTTTTTTTCTGTTACAAATTGCAATTTGGAAAATACTAATAAGGAAATTTAGGAAAAAGTGCTCTTTAATTTGATTTAATAAGGGAACAACTGGTTTTGTGTGGTGCCCTAACTTTGTTAAAAAATACAGTAAGGGGTTATCCTTGCCTCGTCTTTACACTTGTAGCCTGACACTTACTGTTTGGGAGTAAGACCTTGAACTAATCAGCTATTTTGAGCGGCCTGTATTTCATGTTTTTGTCTTACTTGGAGCCACAAGGGCAACTGAACTAGAGCTGATACCTCTGGTATGTCTCAGGCAGGGCAGAACACATCTACTGAAAGCTCTGTTTTGTCTATGGGTTGTGGAACTTCACGGTGGAGCACAGAAAGGTTGTGTAATGGCAAGTATTTTTAGAAAGGAAGATTGATCCGTTCTGCAAAATTAGCATAAAACATCTCACCAGGAAGACGGTGTACTTTCTTGGAATCCTGTCTGGAACTACTTGCAGCAAGAGACTCCTTTTTGCCTCTTAAACCTTCTTCAGTCACCCAGGAGGAGGTGGGAGTAACACAGTAAGAGTCAGGGCTGTGCTACCCTTAAAGCTGTCAGTTCTGTTCCTCTGGTTCATTGCTACCTTATTTTTTACACAGCTGTGTTAACATCTGCTGCAATTAATCCAGGATTCATAACCTGTTTAAACTGAGTGGCAGAAGCAGTGTCGTGTGCAATGCCTGCTTCTGATAGCGTAATATTGCTTTAAAGATATAAATATAGCATTAAAAATGTACATTGCTACTACCATGGAAGGCCTGGTTAATTTTTCATAGAGCTAATGGAAAAAATCAGCACGTTCTGAAGTACCTGCCTGTAACGGCATTTCCCAGTAACGACTGAGAGCGTTCTCTAGATTGTCTGGAAGTTGGGCTTTACTGTCCACTGGAGTATATTCACCCTCCCGCTGGAGTATAACTTCTGCTACCGGTAGAAAATGGAATGTTTACGTATACCCCTTCTAATCTTTGGCAGCTGCTTCTTGAGCTTTATATAAAAATAACTATTCGTGAGGAAGGGTGTCTGAAAACTCTCTTGTAAACAATGTTGACGCTGCTGAGCGCGAGAGGTGGTTCATGACTCTCTGGAGACGGATGGATGCTTCTTCGTGGCGTGTCAGAGCCCCTGTTTGCTTTTTGTGACTGATCCACTTCGCCTGTGGGCTGTCACAGAACCGTGCAGCTGAACACCTAATAAACACAGAGCATGCACATCTTTTAATTAAGGCTTCTGGAAGGTGTTAAACCTAAGTATCGGATACATCTCCTTCAGCTTAAAACTAAAATGCCTTTTTTTTTTTTCTCCTCTTTTTATTCCAACACGTGGCTATCAGCTGCGTTATGTATAACTTCAGCAAGTTGGAGACAAGTGGCTGGCCTTCCACCGGGGGTAAAGTTTGTGCTTTCGTAGTTACTGCATTACAGGGAACTACGTGTATTCCTAGAAGTATTTGAATCTACAATGTTCTGCTGATTTCAATTTTTAATTTATTTTTTTCGTTGCTGTTTACACAGCAGTCAAAACTCATCTAGCATTTAAAGACAGTGAGGTGGTTTGGGTTCTTTTGCAAGGAGCAGATATTTTAATTTTAGTAGGAACCACTCCTTTCTCGTTTAAAAACAGGTTAGTGGAATGTAGTGCCTTTGTTAAACTCGGGTTGCCTCTTGTACCACTTACAAGGCTATAAAACAAGCCTAAAGACCCTTCCTGTCCTCTAATAATCAGCCACGTGCTCGCTGCCTTAACCTTTGCAGCTTCCATTAACTCTTGCAGCTTCTTTTAATGTGGAAGTTCTGACAACTCTATAAGGAATCCCAAAACACTGCGATGGAAGGAATCCAGCACAACTTCTCCTCACGGGCCTGGTTTTCAGAAAGCGCATCTAATGCTCTGCTCTGGGCCACCCTTCCCAGGCAGAGGTGTTACCTGACTTTGTTTTGAAGCTAGCAAGGAGTGCTCAAGGTGAACTTGGCTGAGAGCTACAAAAATAGCATTGCTACAGGGCACAAAAGTTAACTTTCTCCTCTGCCATCATCTCTGAACAAGCTCCCTTCCAACTGACTAGCCCTTGTGTGTGCAGCAAGAGGTTGAAACCTAAATCTCTAAAGGTAAGGCTCTTTGGTCAGACAGAATACTTGTGTATGCTCATGCAGCATTGTATTGTAGCTTCCAGCTATTTAAAAAAAATAAAATCAACAAACAACCACAAACTCACCACAGAACAACCCTGGGTTTGCCTGTGAAACTACTCTGAAGCGTATAGGAAGACTGTTTTCCAAGGATATTTACCATGAATGGTTTAAGGAGATGACTTTGCAGCGAAGGAAGGGAAACTAGAGGGAAGAGTTACATGCAACAAAAATGCCTTCCTGCTGCCCTGATACTTTCATCAATTAAAAATAAATAATTTCAGATGAGATTCACTTTAGGTTATGCCAAGTACCTCTACAAACTTCATCCAGTTGTTACAAATTAAACGGTACAAGCAAATCTGATTTCAGAGGATGCCTGTGAGTTGTACTGGTACAGTTGTTACTGGCTTTAAAATGCACCCCGACTTCATCAAATGCAGTTTTACGATCTAGTGCAGATCTAGCAGAATCCTTTCCAGATAGTTTTTGTTTGGACATAATGCCATTCCTTTCACTTTTATAGTTGAGCAGAAGAGAAACCCTTGGACAGAAAGTAGTTGTTGCTAGTTTCTCTTCAAATTGGCAGCTCCTGCTCTTAACTTTGACACAAGAGGCACTAGGGCTGATGGCATTAAGCTTCCTTAAAATGATTTCAAATACCAAGTGGTAATAAAAGAACATGCCCAAACATACTCTCTATGCAAGTATGAAACTTGTATAATGGAAATTTTAAAACATTAAATGCAACTTTAAAAAACCTCCTCAGTGTAACTACCGAAGTAGGAAATGTATCCCTGTCCCAAAAGCCTACCTGTGGCCTGATCTGACTGAATTCTCTGACTGACGGGCGTACCTGAGCCTGCTGATCCTCTGCTTGCCCGAGGTTGATTACTGTTATCAATCACAGTGCAAGAACGGCGGCGCTGTGGATCTGGCTGAAAAGACAGTTCAAGTTATTTCTGTTTGCGTGAAAGAAAATTTTAAACATTAAGATTATAATACAGCTGCAAACTGTTTTAACATAGGTGTTTCCTAATTTGTAAGGTGCTGTAAAGAGCTAAGCAGAGCTTTTACAAGTTTAAGGAGGGTTAAATCAACTTCAGGAGTAGAAAATACACTTCTATAACACTTAGAACAATCACTGGGCCAGTTAAGGGCATTCTCCCTACTTGTGGAAATTGTTCTGTTTCAAAATAGATTTTAGAAAGTTTGTATATTCAGCTTCTAAGTTGAGGATGTTAAAATTGTCCACAGAAACCAAACAAGGAGCTATTTAAAAGCTACTGCTGAAATTCTAGCTATTCAAGCCTAGATAAAAATACTTTGTTAGATTGGACAAGATACCAATAGAATAGGTGTTTCAGTAAACTAAACCAAGAGCATTTGATACTGAAACAGTGGACATTAGCAGTGCAGCAAACTTGGCTGAGAAAGCAACGAAGACTGTTCTACTCTTGTGTTTCTGACTACAGCTGTGGGAATGACTTCCCAACATCTGCACAAACCTTGAAAGCATCCTCTCCTACCCCACGGTTCTTGGGCCTTTACAGAGGATGCCAGATTGAATGTTACACCTCAAGTAACACTTTTGCTTTTTCCCTCAAGGAAATCAAACCTGTGTTCTTAAGGAAAAGTGTGGTACCTCCACCTGCTCGTAGGAATAGTCAGGAGCTGAAAATAGTTATCGGTGAACAAGCGACTCACCCTGTTAACCTGTGATACCCAATCAAGTGCCAAACTTAATGAAATCCCTGGCACTGAACCCCTGTGACATTTAGTTCTCCAGTAATGTTTATCTGTGTCAACCAAGTCACTAAGGATGACTTGATACGATTTGTTTTACCGAGAATGCGTTGGTTGTGTCAGGCCTGGAGAAATGATCAGGTAAGAAAAGCTGCTCCTGTAGCTGCTGGTGGGTATCACTGCGTGTTGTCGCGCTGTGAGCTCGACTCGAGTTCCCTCGAGATTTCTGCATTGAAGAATAACACAGTTATGGTTTACTGCATCAGCAGCTTTAAAATAATTAGCCTAGGAATTAAAGCTAATCTTCCAAGTCAATCATTCTGCATGTAGTTACGGGAAGGAAAAAATTTGGGCATTAATTGGAATTAAAGCATTGAACTCTGAGTGATACTGTTAGTCAGAACCGGCACTTATGTTTTCTGCACGTATTTCAGCTGCTGTCACAAGGTGACAAATAAATCGGACCTCTTAGGCTCAGTAACTTGGATCATCAGAGATTACAATTTCAGAGTAAAACTGAGTAAACAATTTCAGCAGTAAAACTCTTGTGCCTGTTACCGTTTGTCGCTGGGATCCCGCAGCGCTGGTGTGCTCTGCCACGCTGGAGGTAGTAATAGGTGGTAGGAGATTTTTTCGGCTTAGGAGCAGTGGGGAGGGTGAGGTCAGCTGCTCGTGTGCAGTCAAACTGAAACGCACCAGTAAGAACAGAAAAAACACGGATTCCGTGGTTTGTATTCTGTAAGCATGTAATGGTGTTTGTTTGGCATTAAGCAGACGTTAACACCGAGAGCAATGGTTGCAGAATTTTGCTGTAAGATGCTGGCATTAGGGCTGACTGTTGGAAACCAGATTTAAGAGACTTCTGCAGTGGGTGAAGTTTGGGGGAAATCTTTTTTCATCTATTAACAGGAACTTTTAGTTTTCTTGATGTTTAATATGAAGCATGCAGGCCACATGAGTCTGGGAACAAGTACCTCAGTAGAAATCCTGGCAATGGGTGTATATAGCAGTTAAAATGCACCTCGTCCAGCACGTTTGGGAGGAGTGTGCTGAGGGGCTGGTACCGCAGAATAAACGTGCGTGTGTATAAAGGTGTCTTCACGAGTAGTTACTGTACAATGGCAGAACATTCCCTGCCCTTTCCCAGACATGGCATTATTTTCTGTTCATGTCCTTTAGGCTGAAGTGCTGCTTACTACTAACGACAGCCTAGTCGCTGAAGATAAAACAGCGAGCCTAGAAAGCGGCTTATTTTAAGCAGAGCAAGTGAAAAAAAAGCTACATAATGCAAATGCTTATTTCATGTGGCAGAAATTAATCTAGAAGCCTTAGCTCTAGACGTGTTTTGGAGTTGACTGAAGGAAGGATGTTCTGTAATACGTTAGAAAAAGGAGATGTTAATAATGGTTTAAATTGTTGGAAGCCTGAGGAAAGGGAACAGAAGCGTTAAGATGTTGGAAGTAGAGGCATCAGTTGCGCAGGGACGAGGAATAAGTCTCTAAACAGTATGTGACAAAAAAATAAGAGCGTGGATGAGCTTATAGGTAACAGCAAAACTAGAAGGAAGCTATGTCAATTTACAACACGTGGAATAGAGAAGTATATTAAACCCTGTGCTGTTTCCCAAGACCCTGTGATTCCTGTAAATGACTACAATCAGCCAGATCATTATGCCAAACAAAACTAGGATATTCTAAATATGATCGTGGGCTCACTGAGTTCATTGAGAGTCCTTTGGTCGGTCGTACCTTTCCAAGATAAGCCCAGTCCGGGCTAGGATAGCAACAGGCATTCTGACCTCTACAAACTGCAGACCTTTAAGTTCATCTTGAAAACAGGCTATAGAAAAAGCAAGCTGATGTCAAGAAAGGGACTTGCTGTGCTTGTACTGGACCAACAGGTCTCTAGTTGGTGTGCAAAACTACCTAAATACACAGGTGATTAATCGAATCGCAGCTTATGGCACAGTAAACATCAACTTTAGCAATGGGAGACTGCGCTTTAATGGGCAGGTAATTTCTTTAACAAAATATTTCCTGTTCTGTTCTTTGTATAAGCTGAATTCTCTAAATACGGTAACTTGTGGTGAGGGAACTGGTTTCAAAATGTACAATCGAGTTCCCCTGATGACATCGTCCACAGACCTTGGGGTCCCCGTACGAGAGCGGCTTGTGTTGATGGGGTGCAGGGTCCGTGGCGGTGGGTTGTGCCTTCTCGTGACACGTGAGAGGGAGGATGTGCTGAGCTCTAGAGAACGATTTGGCCACGCTCGAGCAGAGAGAACAGGACTGGAGCCTGTCCGCTTGTCATCCGGGTCCCTAGCAAAAGAATTACAAACCAAAAAGGGATATGGTCAACATGAGTGACAGCTACCCTGTTACCAAAGTACTCACTTGCATGCAACGTTAATATTATTATGTACGGATAGAGATTCTGCGGTTTTATTTTCTTCTTATGTAACTATAGAAAATAATTTTCAACCAGCTTAGAAAATGATAGAGGATGGAAAAGAAAAAAGAAGCAGCCTTTTTTTTTTTCTGAACTATGAATTTCTGATTAAAGACTGGAGTATAAAAGGAAAAACTAATCACATAACACAATAAAATAAAATAAAATAAAAAATCCAATCATACTGTAAACACCAGTTTTCCTATCCATAGCTTAGTTCTAACACAAGTCCGCTCACAGGAGCTGAGAAAATCACTTTCTCTATCCCATTCTGAGCTTCATCTCTTGTTCAGGCTGTCGGTGCCAACAGTGACACCCCAGCCACTCACTGAGTGGTAAAACAGCAGGAACCAAACAGAAAACCCATACGGGAAGTATAGTGTTTCATAGAGGACAAATGACTGAACAAACGAGCAGGAAAATAACTGAGAATTGCTTTTTCCAGTGTAGAAAGTTCTCTCGCAAAGGGAGCGTGCTCTACTTTACGGCAGGTGGTCTCTAGTTCTTACAGTGTTTTCTCTATCACAGGCAGATTCCTTTGCTGCAGCTGGATTCCCTGTATAACCGTCAGGCCATTGACATTACGCTGAGAGCCACCACTTGACCCTCGAGAGAGATATACCTGAAAGTTTAAAAAAATACAGAAGTGAGTTGCTGTTCGGCAGTGACATACACACACGTTTACAGATTTGCTCCTTGTAAGCAATTTTGGAGGAAAGAAACCCATTTTTTCCATGCCACCTAGATATCTACTCAATTGTATTAATTCCTTATCTACGATAGGCATCTTAGCATTCCATTTTTTTCTTGGAAGTGGTAGCTCTTAGAAAATGTCATGCTATGTCCTACTTAATATTTTCCAACTGAGCTTCTCATTTGCCTGACAGGATCCTTCCAACAACAGCTATAATCACAAGTTTTACAAAGCTGTATTGCACAGTATGTTGACGTTTTAGGCCAAGAACAGAACTGTAAACTCCTTTCGTGGAATACAGCTTGATCTGGAAAAACATCAAATTCCACCCACCGTAACAACAGCAAATAGAAAATACCAGAGCTTTAATGCCTCCAGAATACATACTTGAGGTGTTTTTCTCCTCTTTTTGCTTTTGCGGCCACATCTGGGTTTTGGGCACTACACATATGGTACAGAGAACATGAGGAAGAAGTAGAAATAAAGGAGAAAGAAATAAATAAATAAGAGGGAAATAGTTGCATTAAAACAGAGTAAACAGATAACTCAGCACTCTAGGAGCAGATCATCTAAAGCAGATTATACAATCAAATTCAGTGTCTGAGGGGAAAAAAAAACCACACTGAGATTCATCCTCTATTGCCTGATCAGTTAGCTATAGATAAGCCAGTGAGAATAGGATCTCACGCAATGCTCGGCCTCGTCTAGTTCAAACACTCCTGAGATGCAGAAAGAGCTACCTCATCAGCAAACAGCCACCACACGGTTGTCTGATGTATATATAAAACCAAGTTTGAAAGAGAAAAGTGGGAATTAAAACTCGCAACTGAGTAATAACAGAACTTAAGCATTAGGAAGGACAGTCAGCACTCGTACAAAATCCCAACCAGTTACGTATCTGACCAGTCCCCTGACGTACTCGAGTCTGGCTGCTTAGGTAGCGCTGTATTGATTTGTCCCTACACAAACCAGCTGGCTAAAAATACTTACTGGATTGGATGTCACCGAGGGCAGTTTATTTTGTGGCACACAAGGTAACGACATTGGCAGAGGATCAAACTGCAAATGACTTCCAGCATCTGCTCTGATGGTTTCTACTGTTATGGTATTTTTCTCATCATCTGTGCAAAGCAACAGAGAATTCCTGTAAATACAGACTGTTGGCATCGCTGGCTGTGAACAGTGCTGCGAATCTGGATATTTTTTTTTAAAGAGAGTCCTCTTAGATGCGAAGCTGTGTGAGATCTTTTGAAGGCACGTCTCCTGCCGTTAGCAAAATAACCTTCCCCCTCCCTAGGAGATTCTTTCCAAACACATCCCTCTCTCTGCGTCCTTGCAAAACTGAAATCCCCTTTTGAATCTCCAGTTTAACTGGGATCTTTACCAGAGGCTGACCCTTCCCAGTATCTGCAGATTAATTCTTCCATGCAGCCGAGGACTTCACTCCACACGTCATCAAACACAAACGTGAGCACGGAATCCTTCATGCAGGAATACGGAGAGATAGGAGGGAACCCCAGTTTCTGTCTACCAGAGGACAGTCCCGTTTTCCTCTCGTGCAACTCCTCCTCCCTGTAAAAAAGTAAGCGTTACCTCTGCCATAAACACACTTTCTTCAGCTCCTCTGTTTTGTTGCATTTATTTAATAGGTCTAAAACATCAGCTAAAGCTGCGTTTCTGTTCTGTTTTCTCTTAAACTGAAATAAGTCAGGGCAGCTGGCTGAATAGCTCCAAGACATTACTTAAGGAGTTTTGGATTTACTGCATACTGTTATTTCCTGAGAGCTGTCAGTTTACTAAAGAGCATTGTCAAACTGCAGTCTAATACTGAAAGAGGCAAGCTTCTGTACTTGAACTTTTATTTCTGCCAGAATCTGCCTCTGACCTAAGTGAGAAATGACTGAGACAATCCCCTCAGTACTGCACACCTTGGTTCCCCTGTACGGAATGACTACAAATGAATCTTCATGAATAGTAAAGAATTTAACAAGCAGATCAAAGTTCCATTTAAAAATGGTATTTGTTCATCACGCTGTTAGGCTCCGAATCTAGTGTCTCTACAGAATCCTGGAGATGAGAGAGAGGAATGTTACTGCTCGTGACTGTTTAATGGTGCTCTAACAGCCACAACCGTGTTTGGAGCCCAGGCTTAATTCTGAATCTCATGGTCCCTGCAGCTAAATGGCTTTATTTATTAAAACCAATTAAGTAGTTAGCAACTGACAGTACCACCCGGAGTCCCTGCCCAGGCCATATGTTCATATTGTTGGGCTGAATAAAGTAAAGGGGCAAAAAGAATCCTCTTTATGCCACCCTTAATCCTCTCTTCTTAAGATAAAAATAGTGGGAGTTATTTCTTGGCAAGCATCAAATCCACTCCAGTTCTTAAATTACCACTAAGAATCTGGGAAGGTACAATTCCACTCGACGTGCCAGTAGAGAACGAAAGCAGCACACTGCTAGGGCATAACAAACAACAAGGAATTTGACTTAGTATAAAAAATAAATGGCATTTAAACAAGTGTTATTAAATATGCCAATAGTTATGCTAGGGAGAACTATTTAAACCAGGCACAAAATCAGCTAGTGTGAAAAATGACCAAAAAAATTATTTAGCAAAATAAAATTCTTCTAGGAAATGGATTGGGAGGATTCCCAGAGAATTTGTAGCAACCTCAGGCCTTTGGAAATTCTCTAAGGAAAAGATATTTTAAAAAGTTAAATTCATCAAATAGTCAATCAACTAACATCAAAACCAAATACATCCATCTAAACAGCAGGAACTCTGGCACCAGCTGCTTTCTTAAATTAAAAGTCAATACCTACGCATCTCTGCGGTCAAATGCTAAATATTCCTCCACGATGCCTTCCGAGATAATTACTCCGTCCTCTCCTTCTTCGCTCTCTGGAGAACACAAGGTCGGAGACTTGGAACGGTCAGCCTTTTTGTGAACAGGAGTAACAGACAGAGGTACCTTCTTGCCCAAAACACTAATTCTGAACAGGTGACGGTTTTCAGAAAGCAGAAATGGAAAACAAATAGTTACTTCACTTCAAACAGCAGCATCTGGCGAACGGAGAGACAATGTGGTAGCTTAAGCTGAGGAGTAGGGAGGCCAACAAATTACGCATCAAAAACTCTTTTGATTCGGATATTTTTAATTCTCGCTAAGAAACCTGAAACTTCAGGGGACAAAAAAAACACCACCAAAGCTAATTATAAAAGCATTCTCATATGTGAAATAGGATAAGCAGTGCTAATTAGTGCTTTGTATTTTTGAAGTTCTATACCAATTTAATAGATGATTAACAATAAAACCAGCACATAAATATTCTTCAGAAGTGAGCAGCAGCAGAGGTGTTTCTATTTACCGACCAGTTTACTGTAGCTGGCAACAAGCACAGCTGGTTATTCCAAATGCACCTTTCAGTTAAAAAGAAGGGGGAAAAAAACAAACAAACAAAAAAGCAGCGTGCTGCGTTCAAAACCAAGGCTAACAGAAAGGAATTCCTTCGCATTTTAAGAAGCCTTTCGCTGCAGTCCGAACAAAGTTACCTTCCCAGCCCGGTACGGTCTGTGTTAACCGCTGGTACTTACTCATTCGAATCTTTCTCCTGGGGCGAACTTAGATCTGAGAAACCTAAACTGCCAGAAGGTGGACTCGAGTACCACCTGTACCCTTCGTCCGTTGGGATCACTATCTGCTTCCCCACAACCCTGCCACGGGCAAAAGCAAAGGATCAATTGATCAGGAAATCACCAGTAAGATTACGGAGGAGAGCACAGCAGCAAATCCTGCAAGTTCTATAGAGGAGCTATGTGGTTTTCTCGAGGATAGTTAAATGCGCTTTCAGTTGTTTTCCCTGGTGCAGATTGCTTCGAGTCAGGTAAATACCCTAAGAAAATTTTGCTTGTTTTTATGCTCCAGTTGTAGAACTTTTGAATATGGGCAAAATAGGTTCAAGTACACGTAATGAAGATTCAAAATTTAAGTTTACAGATAGTCCTAAGCTGCTGAGCTAGGGTAGGAACATTTTTAAATTATTTTAGAGCACCTGGCTTTAAGCTATACCACACCTCTTTTCTAAAGAAAATTTTGCTATGTTAAGGCCAAGTCAGTTGCAAATGGCAACCAAATCCTCTGGCAAGAAACCAAATGTGAGACAGCAGAATATTTATTAATGACAATGGCAGGCAGACTACCAGTACAGCCTTTTTATCTCTACCTATGATATAATTGCATAAACCCACCCTGCTACCAACCCTTGTTTTAAAAGCAACTGCTTCCATCCCTACCCTTTTATAACTCTGTGACGGTACTAGCAATAGTCTATTAATAAAAATACCTGAGGTGAGGAAAGTTGGATGTCCACTGGTGGCATTCTTCCTGCAGTCCCTCAACACGCACATTTTCTATCTGCTCATAGAGAAGCTCATCAATTTCTCTGAACATTTGCTGAACCTGCTGTGTGGCAGCTTTATCAAATTCCTAGACAGGAAAGTTATCCAATAAATACCTAATGAATAGCATGCAGAGAGGGTTTTTCTAACTGATTTTTTTTAGTAACTGAAAAAGACAACTATTTGTTTAAAGCTTAGTGCAACTGATTTAAACAGGTGGGGTTTTTTGCGTAGAAAGACATTAACTTTAAATAATTTCCCACCCCCCAGAGATGATGCAGACATAAAAAGCTCACACTGACGCAACAGAAAAACTATCAAACCATTGAAATATATGTATTATTATATGAAGTTAAAGCCATAGCAATTTACAGAAAAGACACAAGAACAGGAAGGATAACATCCAGCGACATTCTAGTGAAATGGAAAATTTGTTGCTTGCAAACATCCGCAGACAACAGCAAAACAAAAAAGCAATGTGAGCAGCTGTGAAACACTGGGAGAGCGAAGGATGGTCAGGACTTTTGTTACGTGCTCCCCTGTAGCTAGAAAATGGGGTCGGTTCTTGGATGATTTAAATCTACACGGTTCCCTCTCACCTCACAGAAAGCAACAGCACACGTCATTTTGGCAGATAGGGAGTAAGACAAATATTTCTAAATGAGAATAATGGTTTAGGGGCTTACCCTGTTACAAGTATGCAGAAGTTTGATAATCTCACACTCATGTGTCTGAAAGGATTTAGGATTCCACAATAACAGCATTTATTCTGTTGTATCGATACACTCATGCACTGAACGATTTGCATTTCCTGAAGTTTAGATGGAAATGCAGAATATTAATTGAATAATATGAGCCTAACATGTTTTGATCCGAGAGAGAGGAAAGATGGGGAGGAGGTAAAAGAGATGTTCATTTTATAACCACTGTCACGACTTAACTGACAGATCCAATCCTCATTTTTATCCTGGGATGTATTTGCAACGGTATTTCTAATGTCTTTCTCCTCCCTGTGCTACATCTGGCTTGGACGACTACGCTCTACTCACGTCATAGCCCCAGGAGAAAACTGAGCTGTCTTCGGTGGAGGTGTCGGCGTAGCTCTGACCAGCAGAGCACGAATTCCCACGGGAATCAGCGGCAGCAACAGCAGGGTCGTCAGACTCTCTGAAATGTGCACCATCAGGAGAAAGAAAAAAGAGAAAAAAAAGGAAGAAAAAAGCCCCAACGATACACAATGAGAAATGAAGTGGGTAAGTAAGATTTTTCTTCTGTACAAAAGAAAGCACAGATCTACCAGCAGAGGTCTTATGACAATGCCAGAGCTTTCAAAGGATAAATATTTACTTTGGAGGCATTTAAGCAGAACCCACAGTATGCAAGTAATTCTAACAACTGTAACTCCTAATAATCTCGGTGACATAGGAAGTCTAGAGGTGAAGCAAAACATAGATTTTTTCCCAAATTATCGCAATTCAGCTGCAGACTATTTCTAGTCCTGGTTCTACACCACTCAGGAATTATTCTCCTCTTTTCTCCCCTTGTTTCTGCCGTACAATGAGACAACCCAGGCTATTTGCGAGCTGGGAACAGAAGTATTACTTCTGTAGAGGTAACTCAACACAAAGCTGATGGTTTTGCCATCGTCTCCAGACAAAGATTTATTCTACATTACAACAAATACCTTGAGATCTCGCCGCAGCTTTTGGCCGTGGGTGCAGCCGGGCACACCTTGGCCCCCGGTTCTGGCAGCGGATGATGCCTCAAAGCGTGTTTTGGGAGCCCCTGTCTGAACCAAGAAGTGGAACTTGATGTTACTGATAAGAATAAACACCTACAGAGTTCCCAAGCTTTACAGCTTTTTGGGGTGTTGGCTGGGTCTGGGAGAGTGAAGA